AAAGTGCATCCCATGCCTTAGTGTTTTTGAAGAATTGTTTGTTTTTAGCCATTTAGTCATGACCAACTCTTGGTGACTTTATAGGCAAGTGCTACCCTGTGAAGCATAGCTTCTTTCAGTTGTTGTATGTTCAACTTTGCATCAGATTTGATGTTATTGAGCCAGGGTGTTCTTTGTTTGCCCCTTCTTCTTTGTTCCATTAACCATTCCTAGCATCATTGCCTTTTCCAATGAATTCGCATGCATAACTTGGCAAAGTAAATCAGATGTAATCTTACGATTTTAGCTTCTAGTGGTGTGTCTGGTTTTACAAGATTTAACACCTCTCCGTTACTCTGGCTGTCCATGATATACCAGTAATTTATGCCAGCACCACAGTTCAAAGGTGTCAATTCTTCTTCGATCAGCCATTCTTTGTGTTCATCTCTCATACCCATACATCATTATAGGGAAGACTTTTCCAGATCTTATTCATGTTAACCATTGCAGTGTGGCCTAAGGTTACCTGTATTTGATTTCAGGAGTAGAATTGCCATTGTGAACAATTTTGAATCCAAGGAAGAAACATTTTTGAACTAATTCAATTTCCTCCTTTTTGATATTAAACATCTCATGTCCATCAGCAGCTCTTGTCATTATCTTTGTTTTCCTTATGTTAAGACTCAATCCTACTTTTTTCACTTTCGTCCTTGATTTTCCAGGTCATTTCCCCCAGATGTTCCTTATTTTCAGCCAATAATGTTGTATCATCTGCCTACCTCAAAATCATTTATGGTTCTTCCCCTAATCCTCACATCAGACAGTTCCAGATCTAATTTTCTCATGATCACTCCAGCATACAGATTGAACAAAAAAGATGATAAAAGACATCATCCATGTATAACTCCCTTACTGATAGTGAACCAGTTTGTGTTGCCATAAAGTGTTGTCACTGTTGCCTCCTGATCAGTGTAGAGTGACCTAATGAGTCTGATCAGGTGAGTTTGGACACCAAGATCATGCAAAGCTGCCCATAACTTATTATGTTCTACACAGTCAAAAGCTTTTCTGTAATCAATAAAACACATATTCTTTTGACATTTTGATACTTGATAATCCATCTAATATCGAGTGCTGTGCCCTTTTCTAAAGCCAGCTTATACATCGGGTAACTGTTGATCGAAGACATTCTGTAGCTCTAGTTTAATGATTTTTAACCTAATTTTGCTTGTGTTAGAAATCAATCAATCATGCGACATTTTGGAGCTGTCTCTGGCATTGGCTTTCTTTACTAGTGGGATAAAAACAGATCCTTTCCAGTCCTGAGGCCATTGACATGTAGTCCATACCTCTCAACACAGGGCAGTGATGATGTTAACTGGCATTGGTCTTAGTGATTCTGCAGGTATTTCATCAATACCTGGGCCTTTCTAGTTTGGCTATTTCTCCATGGCCCATTCTACTTCTTTCAAGATGTTTAGTTATTAATTGGGCTTTCAACGTTGTCATCTTGAGGATGTCAAACTGCTCTAGAGTCCCCCTATATATTCTTTCCATCTGTTCTTGATCTTCTGCTGGTCACTTAGTTCATTCCTGCTACAGTTTTTAACAGTTCCGTGCCAGGCTGAAAAGCTGGATCTCATCATTTTCACTACAGCAAACATAACCTCAGTATGTCTGTTTCTATTAGCTTCTTACAGATGTTGACACTGCTTGTCTCACTTCCTATTTTTGCCTTTCCTGGCTTCATGCTGAAAAATTGCATTCAGCCTTTTTAACGTGATCCTTATTACCTTTGGCTTTGGCTCTTTCCTGATCAGCTGTTTTGATGGTGTCATCAAATAGCCACTTGTTTATTCTCTCTGCTTTTCCATATCTTGGATCACTCGCCACTGTTCATCTAGATCTTTCCCTTCTCAATTTATGAATGAACATGAATCGTATTCAAAGAATTAGGGAGAAACAATTTTTGAGTCTAGGATTCAGTTCACTCTAACAGGCTCTTCACCAGCCTCCCTAGGCCAGAGATGAACCAATCTTGAGCATTTTCATGGCTTTCTTCAAGAGGCTTAAACTGGTGAGAAGTCAAATGGATACAATTATATTCTTGTGTCTCCATTGTAGCCTTTAATTAATACAAGCTTGACATAACATGGCATTAGCCACCTTCTGCTTCACTTCTTGATGATTTGAATTGACACTTGTAAGAAGCATGAAAGAATTAATATGCTAGTGGCAGGCAGCAAGCTGCGGGAGGGCAATATAAATATAGAAGAGAAACAACACTGCCATTCTCTATGCTGTCCTTCCCTACAGAGGGTTATAACTTCTTCTCCTTACAATTAACCTTAGCTTTGTTGTCTGGGGGGGGGGAAGCATACCATAACCAACTTTGCTTCTCCTTAGAAGGACAGAGAGAGTGATGTCTTTAATGGGCTTCTCTTTAATAGGCCTCAGGCTTGCCAATTAATTACCGGTCAGCCAAGCAGCTGCTGAAGAGTGGCCTTTATTACCTCTTCCTCAGCACTGGGTTAATCTCTTTCAAGTGAACAGCTATATTATCCAAGCCAGTGGCTTCATTCTCATTCTTGCATCAATGGATAATTAAATCTTGGGCTGCAGGGTGCCAGCTGATCATCTTGCCCTCTCAGTAACTCTTGCTAACCTTACTCTTGGCATTGATGGGGGAACAGTGCCCTTCAGCCCATCAGATTGGAATTGCTAACATAGCTTCCTCAGGAAGACACAGCCAGGCTGAAGGGTTAAACAAATGAAAACATAATAAAACTCTCTCTCTCTCTCTCTCTCTCTCTCTCTCTTCTTTTTACAATCCCTTCTTATATTGATTGGGTAATCTTCACTCTAAGCCATTATATGATTTAGTTTAGGTTTAGCTGTGCATTAGGGCAAATCTAATTGCTGTAGACTGGAAACTGATTTATAGCATAATCTATGGCAACGCTGATTATGAAAACCTTCACACATAATTAGTATATAAGTGCTGAATGACTGTTTAAATGACTTCCTCAAAAGATACTGACTATATAGCATGTTAAGTCTTAATATAAATGGTTTGGCTTGTTGTGACATGTGAACCTACCATTACAACATAGAGTTGTATGAACCAAACCAGAGCTTGTGTAGAAAAATCTTTTTAGAAGGAGAAAAAGAACACTTAGCTGGCCATGCAATGCATGAACCCAGGATGAAATTTGGAAAAAAACTTCCTCTGTCAGATCAAGTTACTCCTAGATGTAAACATTCTCCAATTTGGCACCATAAGAAACAAATACACTAATGATTTTAATCTTGAGGATACTTACAACTTCCAAGAAATTTGGAAAAAATCAGGTCTATGCTTTTTTAAAAGTTGAGAGATGAAGAGTGGCTATACATATTGGAACTAGCTGTGCAAATTCATACAAAGGTGTGGGTTAAGTCAGCATAAATTTAATACTGAGTAGCAAGCAATTTGCATATGAATGCTCTACATTTATTTGCCAATATATGCCACATAATGATGGTATTTATGAAGTTTATGAAGTTACACATCAAGGGATGTGTAATAGTCTTCTACAATAGCCACACTGAAAGCTTTTAATTTTTTTTTACCCTTTTCTGTATTACATTAGCCTTCATTTGTTGTCAGAGTGCTGTAAAATTTGGTTATTTGTGGCTTACTTGTGTGGGACCTCTCTGGATTTTGCATCATTTATAAGCAGGGTAATCCTATCTGGATTATTTGAAATATGGATCCTTACACTATCAATGAAGTTCCTTCTTTATATTTACAATGATAATCTTTTTTTGTACTAAGAACACTAGATCTTTAGGGGTATAATGCTAGTACAGATATTACTGGAAGACAATGCCTGATAATAACCTAAAATATACTCACTTTCTGTAGATGTATATATGAAATCTGGAATTTTTCAGGAAATAAATATTACGTTGAGGAAAGATTTCTATGCACCATTCAAACCTGTTGTTTATATGTGGTAAAAATAAAGACATCCTCAGAGCTCAACCCCTGGTCAGCAACATTATTAAAATCTTTCATATATCCTTTTCCAAGGATGTTTATTTTCAACCCAGCCTACGGGTCTGTGGTTTTTTTTTAGTGATCTCCCTTCTAATTGCTTGGCTAAGCCCATCTGTGACTTGTGTGTTACTAAAGCATAAATTGAAAATTTCTTGGAAATGACCTCGGATTAGAACAAATCATATCCTATGTATGAATAGATGGTACTACAATTCCTTGTGCTTGACTAACAGGTAGTTTGCAGCTGTGCTATTTTTTAAAATTGTGAGAAATCCTGGAATTCCTTAGCAATGTAAATGTTTGATTGCTGGAAAAAAAGCAGATTTGAGACGATGCTTTTTGCATAGAAAATGACATTGAAAACAATGTAGATTGTCATCCTTTAGGGAACATATTTATGCGGTTATTTTTGGAAGCTCTGCTAGTTATTGTATTGCATTATGTGGCTACAACTATCTTGGTTTGTATTAGAATCAAACCACATTATTTTGTTCAAAACATGGAAGCCACTCTTATAACATCTTTAAAGGAAACATGGGTTATGAATAAGGCTACCAAATCTGGACTTCAAATTTCTTGAAAAGCTCCAGATACAGAAAATCTTACCTCTCTGCTATCATGAAAACTGGCTGGCTGGAGAATTCTGGGAGTTGAAGTCCACGCATCTTAAAAGTTGCTAAATTTGGAAAGCACTGGTGTAATTAATAGTTGCCCTGCCTATTTAATATCTTCAATGGTACACATTAGGCTTATGAAGTTGTTTAATCATCTTTTGGATTAAATCAGGTCACCAAATTTCAAAGCATCCAAATGATGGCCTGAAGATCCTTTTCCACGATTAAACTATTTTGTTCCTTCAAAGAGGCAGAAATTTATGATCCTTCCTGGGGGAAAAAAAATCATTTTATGATTGAATGGCTTGTGATGAGACGATTAGTTCAAGATGTGAAAGAACCATAAAACCATTCAAACTGCAGTTTGATTCTTTATTAAAAGGACCCGATGTGCCAGTTCAATGCTTTGTAAACCAGGCTTGGAAAACAATGTGCAAATAAAGGCATGGGGTGAGGTGGAGGGAATAGAATGAAGACAGCTATAGCCAAGGGAAAAAGATAACCCAACAAAAGTGGAATGGTCACCCTTTCTCTTTTCCCCTTTTCCCATTATTCCTGGACTTCTTGCTCTGGCCCAAAACTCTATTAGAAAAAAAAAATATGGCCACTGCAGATCTTGGGACTCAATAGGCACTCTGTGTGTGTGTGTGTTTGCTCATGTGTATGTGTGTGTGTGTGTGTATATATACTCTATTCGATGCTTAGAAACATAACTTTTACCTGACCCTTGCACTAAAATATTTTTTTTAAAAAAAGCAAAAAAGGGAGAACTGTAACTTTGAATGTATTTTGCCCCTCATTCACTTCCACTTCCTCTCCTCATCCTAATATTTGTGGTTGTGAATATTTTTTTTTTAAAAAAATCCCTTAAAAGACTATGGGGAGAAACTTTCCACTTCCGTGGACCTGTAAAAGAGGCTTACTTTTGAAACCAGAGGGGCAAACACCGCAGTGAAGCCAAAGAACAACTCCCTGAAGTGATCCAATACGAAGGGGGCTGTGCAGGATTGAGTTGAGCACATCTGCATCTCGTACCTGATACAATCTCTGTCTGTATTTTGCTCCTTCAAATTGCATTTGATTTGGACCAGGGTTTCTCCCTTTCCTTCTTTCCTCCTTGCCCAGTGAAGTGAATGGGGGAAAAAGGATCTGAGAAGACATGAGGGGGCGGAGAAACACCAGCCAACCATGTGGGGTGGATGTCTTGAGGCTTGGTTGGATGCGGATGTGTATTTCTCCCACAATAAGAGAGGAAGACCACGTTCAGCGGAGGAGATACCAAGAGCACTGGCTGCCCAGTGACAATATTACAGTTCCTCTGACGGCTGCAAGTTTCTCCAACCGTTCTCAAATGCACTCTCCCGTCATCACACAAAATGCACAGAAAGAAAACGATACAGCACAGAGTCTAGTCAGCACCGTGGAGCTCAGCTAAATTCTGCATAGCCTCTTGGTTGCGAATGGAAGAAGGTGATCCAAGTGTGGGTGCTGCTCCTCCCACTTAACCCCCCCTCTAGTTCATTCAAGGTAGCATCAATCTGAGAAGCTTTTCAAAGTTGTTCCATCTCCCTGCAACTGGTGCCGTGGCATGGCATGGTGTGGCCATGGTGAGTCTCAGGAGTCTCCATTTCTTATTGGCCAGTTGCTAGCCATCAGGAGCATGTTCATACTGACAAGTCCTTTGAGCCTCGCCCTTGCATCCAGCATATAGACCATTGACTGTAGCAATTCAACTGGCTCCTATTTACAGCTCGCAGAGCCCTAACCCGTTCCCCTCCGAGGAAAGCTTTGGTTGGAGAACAAAACAAACAAACAAATCAAACCCCGATAAACTATTCTGAGAAACATCAACTTTTTTTTTCTCTTTTTCTAGAAAACTGAACTGCAGGGAGGTGTGACTATAATACCAAATGTCCTCTTAGCTTCGAGGCTCCCAGTTTTACCCTGTTGCCTTCCAGCCTTCTTTCAACAATAGGCCTGAAAACAAGCTTATCTCCTATTTTGCTCCAGATGTTCATCTGCAGACAGATGAATCCCTTTGAAGAGCACTGTGCAATATTAGAAGCAGGAGCTGTCAGTGAATCCCATCTCGGTTATGCCTGATTGTCTCCAACATCATCTCATTACTTCTGGACCCAAAAGTCATGGTTGTTATTATTAAATCCATCCTTTTTTTGTTGTTACCCCTTTCTTCTTCATCATCATCTTCTTTCTTTTAGACAGATCAAACAAAGGAAGAAAACCCAGCAATAGGGGCTCTGGATCCCGGGGCAAGGCTACTGGGTGGTCGGTAAAGAGTGCTCTGCTGACTAGGTGGATTGACTGGGGTTTGTGGGGTTGGAGTCCTACTGGGTTTGGGTCGGAAGAGGCTGCCTTGTTGGGTACTGGTGCTGTTGGACATAGGGCAATGGTCAGGCTCCCCAGAGTCACTTTCTGTATAACTGTAGGCCTGAGCGCGGGAGATGCCCTTCTGCTGGCGCCTCCATGAATTGTAATAAGTTGGGTCGCTGATGTAATGGTTGACAAAAGAATGGGCTTTCTGATGGTTCTGATCCACTTCGTACTCACTGTCACTTCCCTGTAGAGAGAGATGGAAAAACATTAGTTATAAGATGGAGAAGCTGAACAGCTTCTAGGTAGCCACCATGAAGGAAAATTAAATTACTGAGCCAGGGCCTGGCTCTGCCCTCTAGGCAGAACAAATTCACACTTGGTATGATGTCAAATGACTGCACAACAGGATAAAGGAGGTAGGCAGTACAAAACTCTTTCTCACACATCAAGCGGTCTGTGAACTCAGAAAAATTATGTGTAACTTCTCTAGGTATTTAAAAAAAAAGCAAGCTGGGAAGTTAGAAGTAACCACACAGAGAACATTTCCACAGTATTATGTTATCTATGGATTTTTTTTTGTTTTGCCTTTTATATTTTTCTATTACCTTGTCCATAATTGCATTCTTTGATTATTAGCCATCTTGGAAATATTTTATATCAAATACATGCTATTACATTTATTTTTAAAAGTATATTTCTACTTATAGATGGATTGTTGGTTAGTTTGGAAGGAACAGTTTATTTTTCATTGTTAAAATGGAAATCCTTCCTTTTTTTCAGGAGCTTACATAGCACTCCAATTTTCTTTTAAAGAACCGCAACCCTGTGAGGCAGGTTAAACTGAGAATGACTGGCCCAAAGACACCTAGTAAGTTTCCATAACTGAAGCGAATCTGGATCTCCCTGCTCCTAATCCAATCCCATTGCCCTACAGTGGCTTTTAACACTGAACATTTCAGAAAACTGTGGAATCATTTGACTATTAAAATGATAATTTGGAAGGCTGTGCTCTAGTAGTGTGCTGCATCTGCCAAAAAAAAAAAAAAAAGTCAACACAGTACTAAGCTGCATTAACAGAGGGCTAGAATCAAGATCATGTGAAGTGTTAATACCACTTTACAATGCCTTGGTAAGGCCACACTTGGAATACTGCATCCAGTTTTGTCACCACAATGTAAAAAGATGTTGAGACTCTAGAACAAAGAGCAACAAAGATGATTAGGGGACTGGAGGCTAAAACATATAAGAATGGTTGCTGGAACTGGGTATGTCTAATTTAATGAAGGGAAGGACAAGGGGGTGACATGATAGCCGTGTTCCAATATCTCAGGGGTTGCCACAAAGAAGAGGGAGTCAAGCTATTCTCCAAAGCACCTGAAGGCAGGACAAGAAGCAACGGATGGAAACTAATCAAGGAGAGAAGCAACCTAAAACTAAGGAGAAATTTCCTGACAGAACTTTCTAGTATTAAAAGTCATCTGCTGGTAACTGAATATTTATTCTCTGAGAACATCTGTATTTTAAAGAATGTTATTGAGGGAAGAAAAAAAAAAGAATTGGGCAGGGCAGGGCAAACTTGGCTCATTTCCCTCCTTTCAACTCTGCCTCTAGTCTCGTTAATTGAATTCAGCTTCTCCATTTGCAGAAGCACAATAGAGATCTTTCATGAGAATCCCTGCCCAGCTAGGGTACAGATCAAATCGCAGGTTTCAGCTTGTTTAGTGCTCCAAGAGTTTCTCAACAGTGGTATTCATCTGCACTAATTTCATTGGGGAGAAGGAAGTGGGAGATAAGAGGGCCTTGACATTCAGGTGATTGAGAAAAGTGAAAACAAGGTGATCAGCAAGGAGAGGAAGAAAGGCACTGTGTGCTCCCCATGTCTAAAACAGAGAGATGGGAAGGTACCTGAAGCTAAGCAGCAATGGCTGGGATGTTGAAGTAATATAAAAGGAACTTCCAAATCATTCTGTAAATGAGCCTTTGATTATAACTGGCATTTTTGCATCATAAATCAGTCATTAAGCCACTTTAGTGTGGAATCTTAATGCTCCTGCCCTATCATGTGCGTGTACTTTTTATACAGTCTTGTATTAGAAAAAGAAGGTAGTTATGACATTTCACAGAAAATGTACAGTATCCAGCCATGTTGCTTCATATGTTGATGGCCAGTTGCGCATTATTAAAATAAATGCATATAATAATTTTAAATACAGATGCAGCATTAGAACAGCTATCGTTTAAAAAGTGGTGCAATGTATTCCTTTATAATAGAAAAGATGGAGGTCAGATGACTTGTGTACCTGATTAATCTGTTAACTGTGCTTATAGTTCTTGGATATATGACTCTTCATTAGAGGACTGTCTGCTTCAAAAACAGGACTGTCTGGCCACATTTAATTTTAGAGGACTTGTCATGAAAATCTGCAGCCCTCAATTTCAGGAGTTTTATGTGATTCTCTCTCCACTCCTTTAAAAGCAATGACATGTGCTTCACTCCACATTTACTACACCAGGGGTCCCCAACCCCTGGTCCATGGACCAGTACCAGGCCGCGGCATGCCAGCAACCGGTTTGCACAAACAAGCAAAGCCCCATCTGTGGGATGCAGGCAGCACACAAAACCATGCACTCTCCTGTCTGCAGAAAAACCTTTCTCCACAGAACCGGTCCCTGGTGCCCAAAAGGTTGGGGACCTCTGTACTACACTACATTTTATAGATTACTTTGGGGCAGTATCAGATAGTTCTTGACTTATGACTGATTGCTTAGTGACTGGAGTTACAATAGATCCCCCTGAGGGTATTTAATCACCTGGATTCAAAGTTATGGGGTCTTGTGACTGCACTTTGAGTGTTTGGCAACTGGACACGTTTGCAGTATCCATGCGGTCACATGACCACGTTTTTATGATGGTTTTCCCAATAAAGGCAATTTATTTTCAGGTTTCTGGCAAAATCAACCTCTATGGGTTCGCTTAATGACCACGGCATTCTCTTAAAGACCACAGCATTTGCTTAATGACTGCCACAATGAAGGTTGTAAAATCGGGCTGGTCACATGACCAACCTGGATTTATGTCCATCATAATTTATGACCATAATAGGTAGGCTCCATTACGGTTATAATCCTAGGACTACTTATATAGTGTATGTACAGCAAGGATCATGCTAAATCAGTACAACGGTGCTTTCTGCAACATAAGTTGACCCAGCACTTTGAAATGGTGTTCTCAGGTTCTTCCCCAAGTGCTCTCTGACTTCATGGGGAGTCTGCTGAAGCCAAACCCGTGTTCATCTTAAGAACAGAAATAGAACTGTGCACAGTGCAGTCATCTGGCTTTGAAAGCTGATTGGGAGCACACAGGACACCAATAGTAGCAAGTTCTTAAAGAAGCTGCATCTTCTCCTGACTCACATGCTACTCCCAAAGATTAGGAATTAATTTAAGAAGGGGCTGACAGGTGCAACAGACATGACTTCAAATCACCTTTTTCTCTTCAAGTCTCCTTCACCATATCCCCTAAAAGAAAATGCTACAGAGTTTAATAAGATTTTAATTTAAGTAAGCTTATTTCAGAGTGCAGCCTTGTCCTATGGACTTGGTTAAGTCTGACATTCATTTCTGTCTTTGGAAGATAAGTGTTTCTGCATAGACAGTAATTATCTAAACTTAATTCACTAATATAAAAGTTTGCCAGCATGGGCAGTAGAATCTTTGTCTCTGTACAGGATTAAAGGATTACTTTCCATGTAGAAAGTCCTTGATTTTTAACCAGCAATTCTGGCAAATTGCTGGAAGGGCAATCTATTGGCCTGGGCTAGTTTTTTCCCCCCTAACAAAGCTACAATTCAGACACTAATGACATATTTTGTTAATCTGGGTAAACTGGGGACCTGATGTGTTCACAAAGGTCTGCTGAATATTCCAGAGCTGAGCTGATAGCTCCAAGGTATCTGCTTGTGCTATCCAGGAAGAAGATGTGTGGAGAGATTTGCACCTAGATGTACTTGTGGCATGGGTACTTGGCTGTCACAGCAGTTCTTCTCTCTACTAATTGCCCTTGGCGTGGTGAGGGCCAGTTGAGGGCCAGGCCATTTGGCAAAGATTCTGTTCTTACACAAAAAAAGACAAAGGAACCGGTTTTTGCTACAGCCTGGCAGGGTTGCCAACTCCTGTTAGCCTCCGAACTGCTAGGCCTGTCGCCCTTGGCAACAGTGCAAGGAAAAGAAAGGCCTGGCTGTAACGGCCTTTGTCCTAATCCTGAGTTTCTGAGACAGATGTCCCTGTACTCCTCCCTTAGTGGTACTCTGCTGCCTCTGCTGATCAGCATCCCTTTCCCCAGAAGGATGTGTAGGAACATACATTAGCAATTCAAGGAACATTTTAATCCTAGGATAAGTTATTTCTATGTTTTAGGGCTTTTTTTAACACTACATGCTTGCTACAATGACATCTGCATGCTTACTTTTTTAAACATCAGTCTGGGCTCTTAGGAGGAAAGGCAATACACATGATTAAAATATTATAAAAGTCATACTCAGGACTGAAACAGGCAGGTTGGTGACCGATGACCCCTTCACCCAGGGCTAGGGATATGGGTGACTTCTTTCTCTGATTAGCCTCCTATATATAGAATGGAACTTGTGATTTTTAGAGGGATTATTTAACAAGAACACTCTCAACTATAGCCTTGAGAAGAGAATCAAGAGGGCATAGGTACCTGGTACAGGGCAATTGGATATGAGCACTTTTTTAAAAAAAAATACCATTTGTTTCAAAGCGTTTCATTCCTTAAAACGAATGTCTAAATATAATGTCTGACTTGTTTTGGGCTTTGTCAATCTATTAAACAGCCCCTTCTGACTCCCAGCTTTTTGGCAAATGCTGTGGTAAAAGCCATAGCAAATAAACAGATATCTGTTTACATTTTAGCGTAACAACCCTCGAGTAAATCTATATTAGGGCTGTGAAATCTTAAGATAAGAAAATTTAATATTTAAGCAGGGCTTCGGATGGAGAGAGAGAGGGAAGGCTGAGTAGAATCTAGTCTCAAAACTATACTAGTTCAGTTACTAGCCTTTGGGGAAACTGATCACAGAACAATAAGAACAATCGTCAGAGTTCACTTTGTGGAAAAGCTAGTGGAAATCACTTTTTGTAGTGGGTAATTATCAGGTTTTTTTTATCTGGACAATCCAATCTATTGAAAACTATTTTCTGGTCATGGATGACCAGACTTCTTCTAGCAATAAACCTAGTAGAATCCTTCAGTTGGGGGCAAGCTCAAGGAAGTCACTGGAAAGAAACACTTGTGGCATACAATGTGATTCCCTGATATATCATTTTGTCAGAATTCAGCAAATGGGGGGGAGGGGTTGATCACCTATGGCAAAAGTTTTGTTTTGGGGTTGCCTTGAGATCCCATTCTGCAGTGGAAGTACTCCGTTCCCTTTCCAATGGCCTTTGTGACATTCCTAAGACTCTCTGTAGTATTGCAGCTGAAAACTTCTCCACTTTTAGGCCTCTAGCATGGCTTACTTGTGAATCGGAGATTTCTGAAGGCTTCTCGGTAAGGCTGCTGCTGTCAGCTGGAATGAGGTCATTGTACTTGGTAACATCTTCATCCGAATAGTGCAGCGAACCTGGGCTGGGCCGTGGTGGGGACCTTGGGAGAGACACAGAAGCTCTTGAGATGTCATCCAGAAGGAAGCCTGTTTTCAATGGGAGAGCAAGGGGCCTCTCCCAGATTTGTTTACCCCCATCCCCACATCTTTCTTCTAAGGAGTCTGGAAGTCACTGGTACCTTGTATATATTCCATTCTTCCTGCAGAAGGAATTTTTTACTGACATGCGTCGATTATTCAGTTCTAGAGCAGGGAAGCTGCTCTCATCCAGGCTGACCATTTCACCATGGCTAAGTGCATTAGACTTGGAGTTGCTCCCTAAAACAGGGAGAGGGGGAGAGGGAAACAAGAACAAAAGCTGTTAGCATTTTGGAACATTTTTTTTAAAGCATAGAGACTTCTGCCAAGCTTCTTTCTCTCCCAAAGAACAATTTCAGAAGTTTGTTCTAAACCTTCTGATTTTTTAATTGTGATTCATCAGTGAAAAACAAGATCTAGGTCCCCTCTATAAGCTGCCATTTGATGCTTTATGCTGAGCGAGGAGTTAATTGTCCCTGTAAACACAATGTAAGGCACCATTTCCTGACTTTAATCTCTTACATTGTTCATACATGCTTTGCATCCAGAACAACATTTTGTGCTGTAATTTTAATTTAATTCTCATACCACCGTATTTCTTATCATCTACCTCTTCTTGATCCTACACAGGAATAATACAGGAATTAGGGTAAATAGGAATTTATTAAATGAAATTAAGGATTTACTTTAAGTACTGCAATATATATATATTTTAAAGAAATCAACATTAACTTTCTAATTAAGCACAAATCAATGTAAGACACCATTTCCTGACTTTAATCTGTTACATTTGGGGAAGGATCACTTCCCAGCAATAAAAGCTTTACGTGGCTATTCTAAGAGACAGTTCATGGTAACTTCTACTCCTGCTATCCCAGAGAACGATGACCAAAACTATGGAGCACCAACCAAAATAGATGAGGTTCTGTGATACAAGATGGAATTCATGTAAGGCAGAAGAGGAATAGTTTCTCTTTAAGAATGTTTGTGCAAAGAGACAGGGGAAAAACTGACATACGCGTGCAAACTGCATTGGCTATGTTAGGAGCTGCTTGAGGATTTCTTAGGCTAAGTTGCAAAGTATGCAGGTCACCCACACCAAACTTTTTATATGTGACTTATCTTTACAACAGAAAGTTAACTCTCACCACTGAAGTGGTTCAGGAATTTAGCAAAATGGGAATGGGTAACACTGTCACAAAATCAATGGCTTTGATTAAGATTGTTAACTCCCTGCTAGGGATAGGAGAACAAAGAAAATGCCTGTCTGGTCACTGAGCTTATTTTGCATAGCATTTTGCTGATAGAGACACTAAAATCTTGAATCTTACATTTGAAGGCAACCCAGAAACTGCAACTGATGCAAAATGCAAAGGTTTGGTATCTGAGGGATGTTACTTATCCCAAGCAGATTATACAGCTGCTTTGGGTTCTGCATTGGTTACCAGATGGTTTCAGATCAAAGTGCTGGCTTTGACGTATAAAACGCCATATGGCTTGGTACCTAGGTACCTGCTGGACTACTTTCTCTCATCCAAATTGTCCTGGCCGGTATGTATTTCCCAGGAGAAACTTTGGGTCACACCACTCTTTGTGTAATAAGGGGAATGGAGACCAGAAGGTTCCACTTCTCAGCTGCTGCTTCAGCCTTATGAAATTCCATCCCCTTAGACTTAAGAATTGCCCCACCCCTTCTCATGTTTTATAAGCTACCGAAGATGACAGTTTTCCAAAGAAAACTTGGTGGAATAATGTGTTATCACCACCTTGTAATTTTGATTGATTATTGGTTATCTTTATATTTACTCTGGATTTTTTTAACTGGTTTGGATATTTTTGCTAGTTGCTTGCAAGCTGCTGTGAGTTTGTACCAGTTTGGTGGCACACAAGGATGGATGGATGGATATTTGATGTGTAGTGCCCTCAGTGGAAAGCACCTGCTTATGGCAAATGAAGGCTTGAGATGATGCTGGTACTTACCTGAGTCAGATTTCTTGGCATACTTCTTACTCTGCCCACGAATTATAAGGACAAAGACGAGGAGGAGGATGAAGATGAGTCCCACCAAAGCAATGACCACCAGAAACCACCATTCTTCATAGAAGGGATTGGCTTTTTGAGCTGCAAAACAGGAAGAGGAATCAAGTAACCTCTTTCCTGTGAGGCTGCCTATGCCCCATGCACACCGCTTCCTATAGCTTTTACTTAAAGATTAGTACAAAGCATGCCGACATGACCGAAGCTAGATTCTATCCTTAATACCTGACACTGAAGGGGATGGGCTGCTAGGTGTCCCATAGCCATAGTCATTGACAGCAATGACTCGAAAATCATAGCTGACCCCCTGCTTCAGAATATCCATGCTGAAAGTGTAAGAAGTCACTTCTTTGGGAATATCCTTTATGAGAATGTCCCACAGCCCTTCATCTGGAAGAGAAAGAAATCAGTGAAGTTCCAATAGGAAATGCAAAAACACAGGAATACACAAATATACATCAAACATAGGAGAATGGTGTCCTGAATGCTGGAAAATGAGTTTAGAGTCTCAATTCTAAAAATAATGACAGAAACATGCAAGCAACTTGTTTACACAATTAATTGCGGCATTTGTATGATTTGTACAGCAGGAATCTTTAATTTTTTTTAAAAAATGTAAACTGCCCAGGTTCGAATCCCATAAAGGGTGAGCTCGAAATGGCCATATTAGTCTCCCAACTTAATTCTTTAACTCTTTGTCAAGAAAAAAGAAATCTGGATTTGTAAAATGTTTCGCAGTAGCTGACTTGAGCCTGCTTAATACCCCTAGTTGGGGGGCTGCAAGGCAAAAGAGATTGTAAAAAGTAGAACTGCAGTATAACAGTTAAAATGCCAAGGTGTAATCAATCAGACCGGTCTGTCTGAAAAACTTTCCGTATATACTCCCTTGATTCGACTGACAAAGAGGGGAGGATACCCTGTGGCTTGGTGGTTAAATCACTGCCTAGTATGTAAACTGCCCAGGTTCGAATCCTATAAAGGGTGTGGCTAACTGATGAGAGCAGAATGAGCTAGAAATTCTTTAACTCTTTGTCAAGAAAAAGGAACCAGGATAAAATAATCCAGACCATTTAATACAAACAAGCCTGTAGATAAAAAGTCACTAAGCTTTCATCAGCAGTCAGAGTTGGAATGAAAGGAGATCTGGGAGCTGATTTATGTAACTGCCTGCCTCTGCGCCCTGCATTTTTAGTAGTATTAAGGATATATATCTTGACTTGGTCTCCAGCTCTAGAAGACGTTTGGCTCTCTGGTTTCACAGGTTTAGATTATTCCATTGGTGAATTTTCCTCTCCTCATCCACCTTCTCATTAAGATTAGTGGATTTCCCCTTTTTCTTCTCTTCCCCACAGCCCCTCAGCAGCGCTGGGATCAGCGTTGCCTCAGATCGGACGATTTGAGGCTGGGGGGGGGTATACCTTTCCCCATTTTTCCTTCCCCAGGGCTCTGGGGAACTTTTACCTCAATTCCTTCCCACTCCTCGTCAGTCTTCCCAGTGCAGCGCTCAGCACTGCTGTGCCGATCTTGCTCTGCTGTTTAGAACAGCTCCACGAGAACTATATATATATGAATGCCAATTCCAGAGACCAGTGAGCAGAGTCCCACAACGGTTGTGAAAATGTCATTGTATAGCAGGTTCATAGTTATCAAGGAAGATTTACTTTTAATTAGTTGCAGTTGCAGCCAGTTCAGAATATTGATCATGTTTTCTCTCCTCAAACTGTGTAATTCACAGAAAACATGCAAGGATGTCTTAGATGGAAGTTTTACCTTGTAAACTCACTGGAACATTTTAGAATTTCTGCTGCTTAGTTTATATATCAAAAAGAAATCACAAAGAGGATGTATCAATGATTTTGTTTTAGCACAGGCCTGTATATTTGACCTATATGGCAGTAGAAAACCTGTTTATATGGTTTATGAGTTATTTGCAGTGTCAGCTGTCTGCTGAAGCATCATGGCACTTACATTCTGCATTCTATATTGAAGGACTGCCTTATAGCTCTAGTAGCTGGACTGATGGTTGCAGATGATTAAGAGGGACCAACTTTAAAATTTAATTTCTGGGACTTCTATTTACCGATGGAATAAATGCCATGGAGATGAAAAAGGAGAAGGAAGTTCTGCTCCAATCTTTAGAAATCCAGACACTTTCTCTCAGATTAACCTCTTTTACTTGTAGTGATCCTTTGTCTTTTCCAGGGTCTTCTTACTGTCCTGCTTTTAGAGGTAGTCCTTGACTTATGACCACAACTGAGCCCAAAATTTCCATTGCTAAGTGAAACAGATGCTAAGTGAGTTTTTGCCCCATTTTATGACCTTTCTTGCCACGGTTGTTAAGTGAATCACTGCAATTGTTAAGTTAGTAACATGGTTGTTAAGTGAATCTGGATTCCCTCATTGAGTTTGCTTGTCAGAAGGTTGCACAAGGTGATCGCAGGGCCCCAGGACACTGCAACCGTCATAAATATGAGTCAGTTGCCAATCAGCTGAACTTTAATTTGATTTCTTTGGGAAGGGCGAAAGAATCCATAATTACTTATTAGGAAAAAAAAGAACTGTAATGAGGGATTTGTATAAAAAGAGGAAGTACAAGGTAGATAGGCTGGGAGAGAGATTCAGGACAAATGAATGTGAGAATGGAATCAGAAAGGAAAATTATGAAGCTGGAAATCCAAAGATAGGGATATACAGGGTACAAAGATCAGAAGACAAATTATGACTTATTTCATGTATGATGCTTCCAATTCTAATGATGACCTGTTTCACCCAGGATGCTAAAATGATGTGTTTTTTTTTAAAAAAATCTATAATGATATTTATCTGCTAATATGGATGCATTTTTGTTCAGTTTTGATCCTTTTGGCTGGGTGCTGTATTAGCAACATTCATATGTGCATATACATAGTCCAATACAGGCAGTGGTGAGATTCAAATATGTGAACAACCAGTTCTCTGTGTGGATGCTGCTTCCGGAAGTCCATTCTGGGCCTGGGCAACAAAAAATTAGCTACCGGTTCTGCTGAAGTGGTGCGAACCAGCTGAATCCCACCATTGAATAAAGGTACTGTTAACTTTCTGTGTCAGGATAAGTACTGTCTGCCTTTCACACATTCTTTGATAAGCATTCTAGACTTAATGATAATTAATAGCCTCCATGCTCTGACATCTGCTCATTTTGAGGTCTGTGAAAGGCAGTTATTCACAGCAGCTTCATTAAAAAGGAAGGCCAAGTCTATTTCAAAGCAGTTGGGTGATTTATGCCCTTGTATGTATCCAGCTCCTGGCCTCTGGGTTCATCAATCATCCCTTTTAGCTGAACATTTCATTTCCTGGAATTATCCTCTTATAAGAGGAAGAAAAGAGCAAGCTGAGTATACTCAGAGTCACTGTATCCTTTTGGAGAGGAAGACTCCCCAAAAGTAAATTCATGGTGGGATTCAGTGAGATTTTTGGCTGGAAAGAGGCAAATGCATCAATGGGGAAAAGTGGCTTTAATTTATCATTCCAATTATGGGGAGATTTTAAATATATCAGTTTCATGTATTCAGAGGTCTGGATATTCAGTTTCAAGTTACTCAAGCAGCTCACAACTGTTATGACATCAAGAACCAGAAGAGGTAATTTCCAAAATGTGTGTAGCTAGAATAACCATGCTATGAAAGAATTACCAATCTGCTCTAATGAATATTAAAATTTTATATGAATATATGATGTTATCCATGAAAGAAACTGCCCTTTGCTTAATTTACCATTTGTGCCTAGTTTCTCCATAAATAAAAAATAATAATTCCATCTCATCTCTTCTTTGACTGGATTACTCAATCGCTTCTGATCCAGAGGTAGCAGAAGAACACACCCAAATAAATTACTCATTTAGAGGTCTTCTGGAAGAAACGGGCTCAAGCTAAGAAAATTCAGTTGATTTTCTGGCTGTTCAAATAATGAAAAGAGCCCAAACAAATGGGTGAAACAATCAAAGGTGAATTGAATCCAGTATCGGTACCTGAAGGACGTGCTTCAATGACGTATCTGGTGATGGGCCCTTTCCCTGGATCACCACTCGACCAGTGGATTGTGATGGCTGAACCATATCTGGAGATGAACGGCTCACCGGGAGGACCTGGAGCACCTGCATTTAAAAAAAAACAACAGCCAGTTATATCAGTGGAGAAATTGTGCTATGAGACTGCACAAAGACTTCAGATGAGCCCTATAAAAATCACGCCTTACAGCAGGGGTCTCCAAACTTGTCAACTTTAAGACTTGTGAACTTCAACTCCCAGAATTCCTCATGCTGGCTGAAGAATTCTGGGAGGTGAAATCCACAAGTCATAAAGTTGCCAAGTTTAAAGACCTCTGTTTTAGAGGATGGTAGAGAATGCTCCTTTAGTATTGAAACAGTATTCTTGTAGAGCTGATGGTGGATCTTGCATTTCCTTCTCCACATTGTCTATCTCCAGCGGCCTTAATTATATCATCTTCTAAGCAGACATCAACTTGGACAACTCGTTTCTAATCCAAGTCTCTTCTGGGCTTTAACTAGGGTCAAATAGGCCAAAATAAGAGTGTAGGAAATGGTTTGGGGGTGAAACAGGCAAGGGTTTCCCCCCCCCCCTTCAAGTGCTACATTTCTTTTTTCAAAAGCTTTTTAAACATTTTCCCCCAGGCTGAGAAGGAATATGAAAAGGTGACTTCAGTGGACTACTGAGCTGAATTTTGCAACCTGTTTTTAAGAATTTTTGGATGTTGCCTAATTTATTACACAAAGTAGCATATTATTTAGTCATAAACAGTCCAATTTCAGCCATGAAATTTCACTGGGTGGCTGAAGCCTATCAAGCTTTCTCAGACCAACCTACTCATATGTGTATGTGGGCAGAGGAAGAGGAATGGGAGGAGGAAGTGAATATTTCATTTGAGCTCTTGAATGAAAGGCAAGATATAAAACTAGAAATAAGCACTATATAATAAGCACTAAAGCACTAAAAATAAGCACTAAATAATAAATGAAAGACCAAAAAATGTTACCAAAGCTGTATTTTGAAGCCAAATTTTGATTACAATTCTGGTGGGCTGCAAATACCACAAAAATGGTATTTTACAGAGTAAGCTATTTTATAATCATTTCTTGTTATCCACATACCAGCTATATTTAAAAGCAATTTTTGAAGCATTAAAAACTTAGATTGAGCCAATTCAGGAATTTATAGACGTTTTTGTTTAACATGGATGTTAGCCATCCGGTTAATTAAACAATATACCTGCTATTTATAGGCTTTTATCAGCTAGAAAAACATTCCATGTGCAAAACTGAAGTGGCTGCCAGAGAGAAAGTTTTCCAAATACTGGGTAATCCAAATTTACTGAGCTTAAAATAGCTTGTTTACAATGCTGGATTTAACACTTGAACATATGAAGGAACAACTGAATAAGCACAATTGTGATTCCTTTTACAAAGAGTCCTCTTATATCATATTAGAGGTCAGTAGTTTCAGAAATATCATGTGATTTTTCTTTTCTCTTTAAAAACCCACATGGGCCACATAAGAGACTGGACAGTAACTTGTTTGAAATGATATAGGACAGTGATGGCGAATCTTTTAGAGACCGAGTGCCCAAAAACTGGCCTACCCCCAGCCCCACTCTGCCCCTGTTCTGCCCGCCCACAGGGCCACTCACCACAGATCGCCCAGGCAGCCTTGCAGCGCCATGGCGGCCATGCCCTTCACTCACACCCCGCAGCATCATCTGCACATGATGGGGCGCGAGGGTGGAGTCTTGCCCCTGCTGCCCGGCTGCCATGTGCTTGGCTGCGCTGCTCTGCATGGGCTGCGCCTGGAATAGCCTCTCCTCCGGCAGGCTGCGTTGAGGAGGGGGTTGTGGGGGGGTGTAGGCGGGGCTGGGGCAACAGCGTGCATGCCCACAGAGAGGGCTCCGAGTGCCACCTCTGGCACGCGTGCCATAGGTTTGCCACCACTGATATAGGATCTCCTGCTTGAGCAGGGGGCTGGACTAGAAGACCTCCAAGGTCCCTTCCAGCTCTATTTTTATTCTATATATCCAAAGCAGCCACCTATAAACAGGGCATTTTGCACATTTTATTCCATTCTGCTTAAACATGAGGAAAGAAGAAATATGACTTTTGTCATAGTAATCAATAGGCTTGGAAGACAAGGAGAAGCTCTTTCTCAGAAACTGAATCCAGTACTATTAAATTAGGCAGATTAGGCAGACTCCTATAAAAACCGGAGTCATAGAGGAAGTATTTCTGGGCATGGTGGTGCTTTATTACTGGGCACGGTCCTAGTTTAAATTCTAGTTGTTAAGATCTGTAAGATTAGGTGAAGAATGATGGAGAAAGGTATCTCTTCTCTCAGTTTCCTCGATGTACCTTCCCCTGGCCCTGTGGTGATGTTGGCTTCTACTTCCGGCCCATAAATGAAAGTCTTGGCTCGAATTCGGAATCGGTAGGTGACACCTTCGGACAGGTCCTTGATTTTCAACCACAAAGGACTGTTTCCCTTCACATCCACAGTTACAATTTTGCTGACCCCTGGAAGGCAGAAAGGTGCATATTATGAGACGGCTCCAGGAGATTGAGTAGAGTAGGGAATAAAGCATGGTCTGGGAACAATCAATAAAAGCACCCTGGTCTGGCCCAGGGGATAAGGCAGCCAGGAAAAGCGGTGGCTGATTTCAGTACCATCGTCCATGATAATCTACCAGGCCATTTGACAGGATTGGGCATTGGGAAGATGGTTTTACAGTGGTTCTAATCAGTGGTGGGATTCAAACATGTGAACAACCTGTTCTCTGTGTGGATGCTTCCGGAAGTCCATTCTGGGCCTGGGCAACAAAAAATTAGCTACCAGTTCTGCTGAAGTGGTGCGAACCAGCTGAATCCCACCACTGTTCTAATCCTTCCTGTGAGAACACAGTGAGAAATTGTAGAAAACTACAATTTGACATCTATGTTGTTGAATTATGTTGATTCACAGAGCTTGACTTTGCTTTTTATGTTACATGGACTGCAGATAAAACAAACAAACAAAGTCACCCAGGTTCAGGTTGTCTGAAGAATACCTTTATCTTTTCTAACTAAGTTATGGCTATTAGGATTCCTTGTCTTTATTGCTGGGTGTTTATTGATGGATTATACAGCTGAGATGTAGCAATACAATTTTAAGTTCAAAAGGTCCTGGTTACAGACAGCCTAACTTTTTAAATCTGTAGTCCTATAGTTATAAATTAGAATGTTCTCCTAAGACAGCAAGGTGTGTTCCCTTGCCATTAATTGTTGTACATAGTTTAGTAGGTCACATACACCCAGACATGCATATCCGCTCCCTGTAACTTCCTTACCATCCACAGGCATGCAGGGTTCATAGATAAGCCGGTAGCCTTCCAGGATTCCATTTGGGAAGACCGGGGGCTCCCAAGACACATTCACAGAAGTTGTGGTAAGTTCACTGAATTTGACAGAGCCTGGGGAACTGGGGGCTTGGAGGATAGAAATAATATAATTAGAAAGAAGAGTAGTGCTATATTACATATCTAAAACAGGCATGTCCAACCTTGGTACTCTTAAGACTTCAACTCCCATGCTGGCTGGGGAATTCTGGGAGTTGAAGTCCACAAATCTGACAAGTCGCCAAAGTTGGACGCCCCTGACCTAAATTGAAGTTATCATGGGTATCGACCAAGAGTCTGAAAAATGAATGATAACTCATTAAGGAAAATGCAGTTTCCCTTTGAACATAGCCAGTGTACAGCTTTTTCTGAACAGCCAGTGAAGGGAGACAAAGTAACCAGGAAGTCAATATGGAAGCAAACATGAACTGTGAAAACCACCTAGAGCTGCTGGGAGGGAGGCAGCATCTACATTTAATATATTATTTAATTATTAAAACAAAGGAGATTGTAGGTTGGGAAGTCAGTGGAAGAAGAGACATTGAATTGCATGACTGTAATTCCGTTACAGTTATGCATCAGAATTTACCAAAGAGCATAGGACTCTCTTAGTCCTTGCCTCAAATCCCACATTTTGACAACAGTCTTCCAAGAGGCTCCCTACATGTGCTTCTCTTTCCGTGTGTAGCTTCCCTTCTCAGTGTGGCCATTTTCAGCACAAAAACTTTATGTGTCCTGCTGCTTTCTTTGGCTGAATTGCTTGGAGGGGACAGAAAAATGTGGAGGAGACAGAAATCGGGCTGGAGAGAACTCAATTGCTCTCTGCATTTATGCTAGGCTGACTCAAGGTTCTGTGGAGCTTCAGCAAATTATCAGGGCAAGGATTATTATTTTTTTTTTTTACAACTTCAGATTGCAGAAGGAAGGAAGGAAGAAGTCAAACTCAAATCCAGAAAAGGAACTAATCTTATATGTCTGTTTTACAAGAATTGCCTAACATGACTTCTCAGCTGCGTTAAACCTTTTAATCTGCTGGGACTGAATAATTCCCTCTTGCTGGTTTTGAAAAAAAGGATGACAATAAGGCGGTATTGTATGCCTCTTCTTTGGTAATAAATTTACACAGGTGGAGATTGTTTTTCCTTCCTTAACACTGGGCTCTTGGTTTCCTTGACAACCAAGACATTTTATATGTCTGGGTTATCTGGGGAAACATTTAGCTGCTTTGGCAGGCTTGTGACACTGGTGAGAAGGAATGAATGAAATCAACAACAACAAAAAACTCTACTTAGAAAGTAGGTCATGAGTCAGATCCCTAGAAATTTTTAAAAAAGAAGAAAAGAAAATGCAAAACTGACAATCATGACTGGGATGTGTTTGGAGTGTATTGTGTTAAACCAGGGGTCTTCAAATGTGGCCCTTTTATGACTTGTGGACTCCAACTCCCAGAATTCCTCAGCTAAGCACGCTGGCTGAAGAGTTCTGGGAGTTGAAGTCCACAAGTCATAAAAGGGCCAAGTTTGAAGACCCCTGTGTTAAACTATCAACTATCCCTTCCAACTTACTCACTCCTATGAGAAAGGGAACCATTACATACCAGGAAGTTTGGCTTTATCAACACACACAAAGCTGTGAACATTTTTCATTTTCTATTTTCCTTTTCTTACAAGTACAGTAATCATAATCAACCGGTTAGGATTGTTCTGAAGAATAAAGGCTATGCCATAAAGCAGTTCCCACAGTAGTTTAAACATCAGCAATGAAGCAACTATATTAAATAGCTCAATTGGCTTAAGTACATATGAAGAATTCCCACAACCGCAATCAAGTCTTCTCTTCCTGGTATCTAGCACCTGCAACAACATTCATCCAAAATCCTTATCCCTGCACTATTTTTGTAACGAAACTTAAATCGCACTCACAGAGTAGCAATTTTTTGCTCATAGAAAAATACCCAGATAGTGGGCTCTTTGTTTTCCACAAAGGCCAAGCAAACAGCTCACTTAGCAGGTCATCACTTTTTTCCCCCCCTGTGTGCAGAAATTAAAATTAGCTTGACTTACTAGTTCTGATCCGTGAAACAGATCTGAGTGCCAACCAATGCTTGAAAGGAGATTAAAAAGAAAGGGACTGGAATGGTTTAATTTGAAATTAGGACAGATTTAGTTACGCTCATTGAAAAGAAGCAAGATGATTTTTGGTTCTCTCAAAACATATGGCAGAGGGAGAGAAATCCTGTCTATTCTGAACAGAAAGCTGATGGATCACAAAGTATTCTCTCTCTCTCTCCTTTCCCCACTGTGACCTCTGTCTTGCAACACATTATTGCCTATCATGTTTTTCTAACAGAAATACCAAGATGAATGAAAAGAAACATATACATAGATTTCCTACCAAGGATATCAAAAACAAAATTAACATTCCTTCATCATTTGTCTATATTCAAGAAAAAATAATGTCTGAAGTAAGACATTATACAGCATACATATGCTCAATAAAACCAGATTGGTTCTCTGAATTAGCTTGAAAAGCAAGTTTATTAAAAAAAAGTCCATTCTTCCTGATTAATTGCACCTTCCTTGATGGTTTGGATTAGCATGTTTTGTTTTGTTTTTAGCTAAAGGAGCAAAATTTCTTCCCTGGCAGCATTATAATTTTAGATAACAAAAGATGCAATATTTCCTTTTGCAAATGAACATCTGGCTCAAAAACTGTGAGAATTATTTTTCATATCAATAAAATAAATAGTTACCTAACAATAGAAAATGGGAATCCCAGAACACTTGTTCTTCTCATGCATATAGGACAAGGAATCAGCCAGGGTGGAATATGATATAACAGATCGGCTCCAGACTAGCAAAGAAGTGAAATAAAGCTGTATGCTCCATCGTTATTCAACCTATAGCCATAGTTGCTGACAGGCAGGTGGTGTAAAAAAATTAATAAATAAATATTAAGAGAGGATGGGTTGGAAGAATATGAATGTGATTTTAAAATGGGGAAGAAATATACTCTGTCCTATGCTGGTATGCTATTCTGATAGCTGAAAATGCAGATGAACTGGAAGCTCTGGTAATGAAAACCGAGGAGCAATGAAAAATGGAACTATGATTAAATTATAAAGAAGAACAAACAATAACAAGTCCAGAAAGAAGCCTTAGAACTGACAATGAAAATATTAAAATGATGGATAGCTTCTGCCTTTCAGAATTGACTTTCAACAGTAACAGAATCAGCAGTCAAGAAATGGGCCGTAGACCAGTGCTTGGTAGGATAGCAACCAAGGCCGTTCTAGAATTTCGAGCCATGGCACGCTGTCCACCTTTTATCTGACTTCATTAAAATTTGTCCTCCTGAAATTCTGTGTAGGTGATAGACTTCTTTGAGATTTCCCTGTCTTAGTTCCTCTAGCTGAGTTAATATTGAATGCTTATGAAAGCTAAAAAAAAAAGAAGAAGGAAGAATAAAAGAATAAAGCTGGATAGGCTGTTAAAAACCATTTGTCTATTCATACTTGCTAACAAGAAAACATTGGGAGGCCAAGTTAAAAAATCCTGTAAGAATAAAAAAATATTGACAACCTGAAAGAGGAACAGGGGAGGCTGAGTGGTGGCAGTGCTAAGAAAACATTCATTATGACATTCAGAACTACAGACAGAGAAACTACTGTATCACAGCCGTAGGCAAAATGCCGTTCTCCTTTTTTCTGGTTCCATTCAAAAGAAATGGAAACAAATTGAATCCAACAGATTGAACTGAAATGGAATCACGGGACGAGCTGAGCAGGGGGCCTGAAAAAAGGAAAATAAAGGAAAATATCTCTAACATTTCTGGCCAAAATCCATTGCTATGGTTCTTCTCATATTCTTTTGTGTTTTGCCAAGAATAACTTTAAGGCACGGGTGTCAAACTTGCCATGTCACGTGACATGTCGTGACATATCGCAACTTTTTTTTGCATTGCCGGAGCTGGGGTGGGCGCAGCCTCTACATGATGCAACCGGCCTGCAGGCCGTCCGTTTGACACCCCTGCCTTAAGAATTCCAGAAAAGGGAAGCTAGGAAAGCAGCTCCTAGTACAGGCTCTATTGACTCCCTCTGGACAAAGATAACCAAGATCCTAGCTTAGATCCTTGATGATGCCCTCAGCTTAAAGGGCATGTCATTAAATCCAGATGCTAGAGCTGAATATGGCTAACAAGCCCCTCATATTTCCCCCCCTTTAAAAAAAAATATTATTGCCTTTGATCAGTGCTTTTTTTCTAAAAAAAAAAAAAAAAGGTGCCGGAACTCACATACGTCATACAACCCGCCTTGCCTACCCTACAAGGTTCCATCCAAAAAAGGTGCTGGAACTCCGTTCTGGGCATTCTATGAGAATGCCCAGATCCGGACATGTAAGCTGAGATTGTAATGAAATGTGTATCAAACCAGAAGTTGTGGGATGGGAACAGGTCATACCAACATGCACAAAACAAGTGACTGAAGATGGAGACCAGGGCTTCAGACTACACAGCAACATATGCCTTTTCTCTCAATATCAAATGTTGCCTAAGTAGTTTGAATATTCTGTTGGATTTCAACCTGGCAAGAATGCATATTCAGCAACAGAAGACAGTTTGGTTATCAAATCAGATCCCAGATCTACATGGTGGATCTGCACACAAAATTAGAGTTGGATAATTTCTGTGATTTTATTCTTTTATAACAGAGAGTTCTTGGCCCTATCATTCTTGAACCAATTACGAAACGTCCTTATGTTTTGAGACAAGAATAGATTCCTTTCATCATGGTTCTTTGACCTGGCATTGAAAAGGAACAGCAGAAGTGGGGAACATAGCCGTGTCATGTTACCCTGGGCAATACTGCGAGCCTTTATAACAAGAAATAAACAAATTAGGCTGGGAGATTTCAAACTTGAAGTCCATTTGTGAGGGCCAAATAAGGAAGCCACAACAGTGGTAAGATGAATGAAGCCAGGGCACAGAATCTTTTTTAAGGGAAATAACAATAACAACATCAGCAACGGTTAATCTCTTTGTAATTCATTCCACTCATATTTAGCCTATCTAACTGCATCATCCAACTGGTGGCAAATATGGGAGACATTTTTATTAGTCCACCAACAGAAGGCCCCATCTACTGGCTCATTTATAAAGGCAAATCTTTTCCTATTTCCTTATTTCTTCTGAGTTCCTTTCGTATTTTCAATCAAAGAAAATGTGCACCGTTACTGTTAAACTGTTCCTCAGCTTCAATATTTTCACTTTTATCCAAAACAAGGGCAGACGTAATATTTGCAGTCAATCTTCTTCCTTCTTATTTCCAGAGGTTTGTCATCTTTTCATGGAACTTCCAATTTTTCTATGCATTTTTATAGCTGAACCTCTTTCACTGTCCACCCCATTCCCTCTCAGAATGGCTTTTGACTGCAGTTTTACTAATTTATTGGCATAGCCACAGGTACTTTAAAAGGCTTTTGAACATAGACATATTGTAATATCACTCTCGAGCTTCCACATTCAATGGCATTTTATTTATTATTTTATAACTGATCTTCCCTTGATATGACCCTTCTCTCAGGAAGGATTTTGTTTTCAAATCGCCACATAAACATAGACAAATGCATAGATTGGGTAGAACAGGATACTAGCATATTATTTCCTTTCTTCTTCTAGAGGACAGATGAAAGGATTTTTTTTTCTAATTCAGAACTAGAAACTGTGACATGGGCAGACTCTATGATCACAAAGCTGTTGAAAGTTTGGAGGTATATGACATTATGTCACTACTGGTCTGACAGATACACCTAACTTAAAAGGATTCCAGATGTATTTAAACATGTACTGAGAAACAGGTGAGCTGGAATCTGGAAATCTTTAACAAACTCTCCCTTCCTGCCTTTAAACAAGCCTTGAAAATCTGGCTCTTCCACTATGCTTTGCGCTATGCGGCTGTTGGATCTCTTTTGGTTGGGTTTTGCATAGGGAAGTAGAATGTTATTGTTCTCTCTGTGTGACTATTGTTCTTTTCTGCTCTTTCGTGATATTTATCTTTTTTTTTTTAAAAAAAATAGTAAGCTGCCCAGAGTCATTACATAAAGTTAAAAATGTTTTATAAACAAACATGACCTACCAGACAACTATGCACAGTGTTGGACACAGACCCGCTAATGGAGGGATTAGTAAAGCAATAATTGTAGGAGAAGGACTGGCAGAACCTGGGGGTGGTGTTGAAAGAGGGATCGGCCTAGAATCTTTACATAGTCGCAAGCGAACTAAGTCTAACCTCCCTTGAATTCCCTTTACCCTTATCTAACTTCAAATAGGTACTAATAGTTAGCTGAGAAGATTCCTATACATAGGATATATAGCAATAATCAGTTTAATTGGATCTTCACATGTGGACCTGGTCTTTTGTGCCTGACATTAATCTTCTTAATTAACTGTTAGCACTTGTTTGGAGTTAGATAAGTGACAACAGGTTGAACTTAGTTAGCTTGTGGCTACCTAGGGATTCTAGGCTGATCCCTCTTTTAACTCTGCTCCCAGGTTCTACCACTCTTTCTCCTACAGTGATTGAACATTATTTGTATCTGGGCATCTGTCCACTTTAGCAAAGCCTTTGCCAATTGATGCAGAGTCTCTCCTCCACCTCTAAATGCCTATTGACCTGGGCCTCTCCTGCTATGTGACCTACCTGCTTGCTGGGTCCTGCCCTTGATAGGGATACTGCGGGGGCCATCACCTGCAGCATTGAAGGCAAGGACAGAGATGAGGTAGGAAGTGTAGCCCGTCAGGTTCTTCAGTTTGACACCACTCTCTGGTAAGAAGAGTGTTTTCACTCTTTCGGTTTCATTCTGCCGCTGAGCTTCCCAGAAATAAATCTGTGGAGCAAGGGAAATTGAACGCAATCAGAGGATATAGAAGGAAAATGTGCAGGAGAAAATAAAGAGGCAAGAGGATGTAATAAAGATGCTTACTTCTCTCTTTGGGTTTGGCACATGAACCTACTCTTCCATTCCAAAATGTGGACATGAAAAGTCAAATTTTCCTAAACTAGCAAGTTTTCGTTCCAGTGGTTATGTATCACACCTTTTCTTTCAGAGTTATATCTCTTTATGTAGCAAGCCCCCCTCCCAATTATCCTAAGCCTCACACCTGGATTCTTCAATATCCTCTTCCAGACACAGTTGCATTTAATTAACTCTTTAGAAAGACGCTCTTTGACAGTGTTGATGAATTAGTAAACTATAATGAAGATACTTAATGAAGTGATATTTCAAAAGAAAAAATTAAGTCTCCCTTAAGTAAACCTTGATTCTTGGTGTCTACATTGTCTTCTGGGATCTTTTATAATTTTCCATTCTAGTCTAGATCCATGAGATTTCCTAGTGGTCTCCCATTAAAATACTAATCAGTTTTGACCCTGCCAAGCTTTTTTGAGACTAGCAACAGCTAGCTAGGTGCTGCCACCTAGCCACTACAGCACACTGGGAAACTGAAAAAGCAATGGCCTATTTAATAACTGCCTAGTTACCTGAAGAATTCAAAGATGCTTAGTTTTCTGCCTTACAAATACACAGGTAATAATTACACAAGCATTACCTCTCCCTTGCTTCAAGCTAGACATCTGTTTAAGGTTGGAACTTGATAAACTATTTCCCTTTTTCTTTTCCTTAACGTACGGAAAAAATTGTCATGATACTTGAACTGTGAAACTGCTAATCAAAGCTTGGCAAGTCTGGGAGCCTTCTCCCAGATTATTTTCTAGAGGGAGGAGGGTATTGAGGAGAGAAGGATTTGGGAAGCATGGATGCAAGAACAGGTCTCAGGGAAGCTAAGAGTCCCACTGTAGGAAAATCTTTATCCATCCGAGGTCAGAACTAGGAATACATCTAGTATCAGGAAAGGCAAATATTAACAAGCTGTAGATGTGCAGTACTATGAAGTCATCCTATTTATAAACCATTTTAAATTCTTTAGCAACATGAATTTGTTTATTTTAATGTAAACACAGTGACTGCACTATCCTAAATCTTCCCCACGTCGCACATAATGACCTCACTCAGAGACAAAGAAATAAAGGAGAAAAAAATATCTAAAACAGAGAAAGTGGTATCAGCAAGAAAAGGAGATCCTGCAGAAGTCTCTCAGAGTTTATGGAATTTTGTTTTGATTTTGAAGAGCAAAAAGATAATAAGAAAAGGACATTCACAAAAAAAGAGATGTGTGACAAGGATGAATCTCTAAACGTGTTTTTTTTATTGTTAACTATAACATTGTTCCAAGAGTTTTTAAGCAGGGTGTGTTGGCCTAGTGGTTAAAACGCTGGGCTTGTTGACCAGAAGGTTGGCAGTTTAAGATTCGAGCACCATGCAATGGGGTGAACTCCTGTTCTTGCCCCAGCTTCTGCCAACCTAGCAGTTTGAAAGCATGCACACGCAACTAGATAAAGAGATACCATTTTGGTAGGAAAGTAGCAGTGCTCCATGTGCCTTTGGCGTTTAGCCAAGCCGGCCATATGACAATGGAAGCACCTTCGCACAATGCTGGCTTCCTCAGCTAGGAAACAGAAATTAGCACCGTCCCCTAGAGTCGGACAGGACCACACAGCGGAAATCTTTACCTGGGTTTTTTATGAAAAAAAAAATGTCCCCACAGAATTCGGGAGAAATGAAATGAAATGAAAATGTATTTTAAAGCAGAGGATCTCAGTACAGTATGTGTATTCCTTTTACTACTGGAAAATATCAAGATTAAGTTTATTCATTCCTCCACTAGGCAAGACTGGGTAAGTAATTAATTCTTAGTCTTGATTTATGGGTTGAACAGAATGATACACAGTGCAATTCTGAAGTCATTTTTGGACGATATCCAGATTTCCACAGAGAAGCTGGACCTTCCATGAAATCATGGTACCAAAGAGACAGCAACAAACAGGTTCCATGGCAACACTTCTTGGCACCCTTGCAGTTTCTTAGGAAACAAGAAAGCAGCTTTCCTCAAAGGTCACTTGGTTGGCTTCTAAACTGTCCCCTTCTTCCTGATTGGACATATGCAGCCAGATGATGCTTATCTAAGATTGGCAAGAGGACACTTCTGGCTCCATAATGTACTTTCAACTTACACAACTCGGGAGACAATAGATCAAGGTGGCCTTTCAGCAGTTGCAACTTGGGAGAGCTCCAGACATTGCTTTGAATGAAGGCCACTTCTATTAGAGCTTTAATTGCATATAATAAGGTCACAAAACCAATATGTTTTCTGGAGTACATATCTGTCTACCATTGCCAAATCCCTGCAGTTGGGTAGGCCAGGGTCCCCAACCTCCAGGCGGCAGCACACTATTGGGCCGTGAGCGGTTCGGAACCGGGCTGCAGAAGTGGCGGGCGAGCATGAACACAAATGTGCACATCTCCACTTGCATGAGCTGCGCACGCACTTGCTGGCCACTCGAGCAGAACCATCTCCTCTCCCCCTCCCTGCCATTCCGCAAAGCCGGACAGGTTAGGGAACTCTGGTGTAGGCATTTAATCCCTAAACTATACTGCACTGTAGTATATTATAATATTTAATTATATAATGTTTTATATAGGGGTTAAATTATAGCTCTCATAGTATAAGGATTATATTATTATATTACATTACATTATGTTATTTTACTAATTATAAGGGTTAAGCATATTGGTTTTGGTGACTATTAAAATAATATAACCTGTCCTTTTCATTGCCCTTGCCCTTGCTGTATTTTATTTTATTTTATTTATCAGTTTTATTATTTCTTCATTTGATTGTTGTAAGCTGCCCAGATTTGGGCAGAATACAAGTTAAGCAAACAGGTAAATAAATAATATATTTATTTATAAATATATTTACATTTATTTATATTTATATATTTATATTAAATATTTATTTATAAATAATAATATTTGAGCTAGTCCCAAATATTAGGAATGCACTAATATTGTGGAGAAGGCTGATCTATATAAGAATCGTGCTTATACTACATGAGCTGGAAAGGTTGTCCTTTATACTTTGGGGATATAAACAGAAACAAGAATAAAGCTCCCCAGGGAGCAAAAACATCCTTGATGACAGCATACACAGGCACCAAGTCCCAGTGTTCTATTTGTAACTCAATAGCATCACTTACAGGTAAAATATGGAACTGTGTTTTTTTTTTCTTTTTCTTTGTTCATTTCCACTTTAGCTGTGGGGCTGCCGCAGACTTGCTCACATTATGAAATAGTGGTATACATATATGTTTATTATTTATCTTCCGCAATTCCTTTAAGAGCATAAAATGGTATATACATTGTGATGTCCCCACTTATTTTTCTCCACAAAAGTCTTTTAGTGTTGATTGGACTGAGCAAGAAACAGTGACCCAGTGAGCTTCTGTGGTAGAGGGTGGATTGGAATTGGGTCTCCTCTGTTATATTCTAATATCTTAACTGCTGCACAACATTAATTGTTAATACACAGGCTGCATGTGGCTCCCAATGTCTCATTTCACAGAATTTCAGCGTGGAAAGAAACCATTATATTTGGTGCAGAATTCCATATTAAGGAATCCCTGAACATTCCTGTATAAACATATCCAATGAAGGGAGACCATCACATCCCATAATGGTTGGTTCCATTATTGAACTGTTTCTTTCAGACTTTTTTTAATAGCACTTAACTGTAGACTGCCTTCCCGTAATTTAAGATTATTACTCAATGTTCTGCTCTCTGGAATGATAGAAACTAGGTCGTGTTCCTCTGTGTGACATCCTTTTAAGTTCTTTTAATATTCTATCAAGCCCAACTCAATTTTCTCAGTTTCTCCTTGTATGTTTCCATCCCCAATCACCCTTCTTGCTTTCCTTTATACTAGTTCCATTATTTTTTCTCAAAATGAAGTGCTTGGAACTGGGCATATCACTTCAGATGGTTGGATACTTTTGGATGCTGGGCTACTACACTGAATAGATCAGTATTTCTCAACCTTGGGCACTTTAAGGTGCGTGGACTTCAACTCCCAGAATTCCTTGGGTGCTGCTGGCAGATGAATTCTACGAGTTGAAGTCCACCCATCTGATATGGGCAATGTTCAAGAAGAAACACTGTTCAAACCAGTTGTAGTATCCTGGCACGCAAAATAGTGCAACCAATTTTGATAGAATTATGGAGTATTTTTCAGGGTTTGGATTAGATTTAGAGCAGTGGTTCTCAACCTTTCTAATGCCGCGACCCCATAATACAGTTCCCCATGTTGTGATGACCCCCAATCACTTATACATCACCGGGTGCCAGGGGCGTGGCCAAAGAAAAGGGGGGAAATGGCGGACAGCCTTGTTTGGCGACCCCCATGAAATGGTCGTTCGACCCCAAATGGGGTCCCGACCCACAGGTTGAGAACCACTGATTTAAAGAATGGAAATAAGAGAGCTGATACCACCATGATACTGGAAGACCTCCTGAGGTTGTGTTCCTTGAAAAGATGTTCTTCTCTATTATTAAAACAAAACAAAAATAGGCAGAATAATTTTTGCCTTTAAAAAGAGCAAGAGGGGACTGTAAGATGCTGAAAAACACTTGCTTTTAGAAAGAGAGTCTCAGGTTAATCTGTATCAGCAAAAACAAATGAGAGTACTGTGCTACCTTAAGGACTAAACAATTAACTTGTCATCTCCAGGATGCCTGTGTTATTACCAATTATTTTTTTATGAATGACCACAGGTAATACTGTAACGATCATTATGTTTTCCTATATTTTATTTCACACTGATTTCTATCCACTCCCCATCAGTGTATACAACTATAACTCTGGATAATTCTGTGCAACTCTAATATTCAGCGGACATTAGTCTGTGAAATGTTATGGATTAATGAACGTGCTAATTTCCAGTATGCCATAAAACTTTGTGGTGCCATCTAGCCTGACGCCGGACACTAATCTTCATTAATGCAAGCATTCCCAAAAGATTAGCAATATAGCAACAAAGAAGAATATCCTGTGATGTATTTATGTAATAATGACAGAAGAAACAGCAACAGCTGTAAGTCTGTTCCCAATTTGTATCAGGCAGAGGATTCTGGCTTCCATTTTTAAACATTCTTCAGGGTGAAAAGAGCATCAGTCCACCCCCAGGAAAGATCTTCCCCTCCCCTCCATTGTGCGGTTATCTTGTAGCCTTGAGGGGGTCCATGGTGCTCTCTGAGTTTGGTTGTTTTCTAGGACTGCAGTGCACTGATGATGTTATTTAGTCTGGGTAATAAAACATCTGCAAGAAAACAACCAAGCTCAAAGAGCACCAAGGACACCACATTTCAACCCTGAGCTACAAATAATCTTTATTGGTACCTTGTAGCCTTGGATATCTCCGTTCTGTGTCTCAGGAGGTGGTGGCTCCCAAGTAATGTCAAGTTGGGTGGCCGTGATGGTTTGTATAACTACATTCTGTGGTGCAGCTGTAGGGACTGAACAAAACAAAGAGAATGTAAGTCAGGAATGCACTAGACCGAGAATCAAATACAGTGCCATGGACTTGCTTTTCTTCGGATGCAGGTCTGCTGGTGTTCTCCTGACAGCTTTGTCTTTATTGATGAAAGAATGGATCTTTTGCTTATTACTGGTTGATTCCAATGGTTTTCCCAACAGCTAACTCAGATAGCAATAGCAATAGCACTTAGACTTATATACGACTTAACGGTGCTTTACAGCCCTCTCTAAGCAGTTTACAGATTGAGCATATGGCTCCCAACAATCTGAGTCCTCATTTTACCGACCTCAGAAGGATGGAAGGCTGAGTCAACCTTGAGCCGGTCAGAATCGAACTCCTGGAAATGAGTAGTGAATTAGCCTGCAATACTGCATTCTAACCATTGCACCACCACAGCTAACCCTATCCAAAAATTCTATGATTTAACCCTGAGCTAATCCTACATACCTCAGATGGGCAAATAAATACATGACACAGACACCCAAAGTTGAAAGACTCCTCTTAAAGCAGATGCTCAGCTTACCAGCTTCACCGACAAAGACCTCTTGGGGGGAACTGGTGGGGCTTTCACCCACAGCATTGTAGACACTCATGCGGATCTCATAGCGACGGTGTTTGTTCAGATCTGCAAAGATGGAGAAAATCAATGATCATTTAGGAGCAGAGAGGAGTGCTCATTAGGGCTGCCTCCATAGCAGCAGCACATACTTTCTGGTTAGCATCCTCTCATTTTCCTCCCACTATTCCTTGCTCGAGAACCTGGCTACAGTGGCGTGTCCTATTTTCTGTCCAAATTATTTAGATTGGAAAATTGAGGCAGAATATTGTTTCTGACCAAAAAGAGAAAACAAACACCAAACAAAGCAAGAACAAGATCTCTGGTTTATTGCATGGTTTCTAATATGTGAACTTTAAAGGAAAAAAAAGGTCTTAATTATAGTTGTGAGTAAAAATGTTATTTTAAACAAGGAGAATAGAACTTAAATTGTTCAAGGGTGCTTTCTATCACCTCCCTTTCATTTCCATGATTCCTGGACCTCATTTCCTCATCTCTTTTTTCAATACTCCAAAGAGGATGTTGCTGTCCTCTTCTATTATTTCTCCATTTTCATTCTACTGCAGTTGTTATACAGCCACATATGTGAAATGGAAATCCACTTTCCCGAATATGCTATTTTAAGCTATTGATCAGTGTGGATTACACTTGTTCCATTACTTGAACGGAGTTCTCAAAATGGATTCTGTTATGCTTATTTTTGTAGTATAATCAGGAAAAACCTGCAGAAATCAGCCTTACTAATTTTTGGATTTGGCAAGAGACGGATAATAGTTACATTATATAATAGGATAATAATAATAATATTGATATTAATATTATTATTAATAATAATAATAATAAAGTTGGAAGGGACCTTGGAGGTCATCTAGTCCAACCCCCTGCTCAGGCAGGAACCCTACACCATTTCAGACAAATGGCTGTCCAGTCTCTTCTTTAAAACTTTCAGTGTTGGAGCATTCACTGCTTCTGGAGGCAGGTTGTTCCACTGTCAGGAAGTTTCTCCTTAATTCTAGGTTGCTTCTCTCCTTGATTAGTTTCCATCTGTTGCTTCTCGTCCTGCCTTCAGGCGCCTTGGAGAATAGCTTGACTCCCTTTTCTTTGTGGCAGCCCCTGAGATATTGGAACACTGCTATCATGTCCCCCCTCGTCCTTCTCTTCGTTAAACTAGACATACCCAATTCCAGCAACCGTTCCTTATATGTTTTAGCCTCCAGTCCCCTAATCATCTTTGTTGCTCTTCTCTATACTCTTTCTAGAGTCTCAGCATCTTTTTTACATCTTGGTGACCAAAACTGGATGCAGTATTCCAAGTGTGGCCTTACCAAGGCATTGTAAAGTGGTATTACTACTTCACGTGATCTTGATTCTATCCCTCTGTTAATGCAGCCCAGCACTGTGTTGGCTTTTTTGGCAGCTGCAGCACACTGCTGGCTCATATTTAAGTGGTTGTCTACTAGGACTCCGAGATCCCTCTCACAGTTACTACTATTGAGCAAGGTACCCCCTATACTATACCTGTACATTTGGTTTTTCTTGCCTAAATGTAGAACCTTACTTTTTTCACCACTGAACTTCATTTTGTTAGATAGTGTCCAGTGTTAAAGTCTGTCAAGATCCTTCTGTATCTTAAGCCTGTCTTCTGGAGTGTTGGCTATTCCTGCCAGCTTGGTGTCGTCTGCAAATTTGATGAGTTCCCCATCTATCCCCTCGTCCAAATCATTGATGAAGATGTTGAAGAGCCCTGGGCTCTTTAACATCTTCATCACACCTACTATCACTACCTTTAAAGAAACGCAGCCCTAGTTTATGGCATCTTTCCTTCCAGACATGCTAATTGTAATTTTGCATCGTCCCCCAACAATTGCTTAACACCCACGAGCCCAAAGACACAAACAGAGACAGGAGTACAGACAAAGGAGGAAGCGGCCACTTACTGTCCAGCTCGTATTGTGTCAGGGAGGCCTCGCTCAAATTCCGCATGGCATATGTTGCTGTGGGATGGCAGTGGTCAGAAGGGGAAAGCAGTACAGTTAGCTACATGGAAAGAAACATCTGGACAATACAAGCTAAACTAAGCAACACCATTACTATGCAAGAAAGCAGGACGGGGAGAAATTCTCAGTCCAAGCAAAGGATGTTAAGGGGGGGGGGTCTCATGAACAGTAGGGGGCGAGAGAGAAAAGTGACAAATAGCTAGAGAGGGCAAGACAATCAAAGTTTCAAAGGACAAACAAAATTTCTCAGAATCTATTACAGACATTGGGATAGATTGGATATATATGTCCCATCATTCTGTACTCCATAAAAGCCTCTTCTGGCAACCAAGACCTTGAAGCTGCTAAGGACTGACACGCTGACACAAAAAAAGCTTGCAACCCCAAGAGGACCAAATACAGCTGTGGTTTGCTGCAACCAAAGGCCATAAACAACTGCTTCAGATACTCCCTTCAGGGAAAGTTTTTATGCTGGATGTTTCTGCTTGTGCATTTTTGTAAGTTTGTAATTGTCGGCCTGGGTATATTTTCATTAGTAAGTCCCTGGAATGATTTATCTGTAATGCCTTGTAGTTTTTACACAGCTGTCTTGTTAACCAGTATGATACATACATTATTACATACTGCATGTGAACCTGGGAGAATAGGCTTCCCAATTTTCAAAGTAGTGTTTTATGATGTAACTTTAATATTTCTTGAAAAAGAGATTGTTTCAGACTGATTAATTAGAAAGAGGAATCCTGGACAGTGCTGTTTTGGATTTTTGATGCATATACTGGCTTTTTGCTGGAGTTCAATCATGTATTGCTCTAGGACAGTTTCTGAATTTATTAGCATAGGAGGAATTGTGCTGTACTGAATAGAAGCCATATCATTGTGGGAAGCATTTTGTGCAATCCTTAGGACCAGGTCTTATGAACAGCTTGCTTGGGAATGATATTGCAAACTCATTTAAAGGCAATCAGTACAGCCCTTTTCCGGAAGTCTGGTGAGTGAACTACATTCTGATCGTCTTTAATTCATACATTCTCCCTCTGCAGACTTACGGGTCAACTCTGTCCATCTGGCATTGGGACTGCCCATGCTACGGGCAATAAAGCCTCGTACCCCTTCATATGGCAACTCCCGGTATCGGATGCGGAAGCCTAGCAAGATGCCATTGATTTTGTCCTCAGATGGGGCCTGCATAAGAAGACACAGTGAATGCAAAAGTGATCCTTGGAAGCACAGAGTACCCACGGCAATATCTTCAAATATGAAAATTCTGAGGGATACCACAGTTTTGGATTTTCATGCTGTCCCTGCTAGCAGGATGGAATCCAGGGATATAGGCAGAAGATGCCCCAAAACTGAGGATTAGTGGGTTGAAGTAGTCCCACTATCCATTTCGGATCCCTCCAGCTTTCTCCTGATCTCAACATTCCGCAAGTTGTTTTTCATAATTCCACCCCAAATGCCTTTATGCTACTGGTTCACTGCCCTCCTCCACTATATGCATACCAACTAGAGCAGGGCTTTTCAACCTTTTCACCCATTGTACCACTTTTAGGATATGGCAATATCCGAGTACCACTGAGTACTGGTTCTCTGCCCTCCTCCACTATATGCATACCAACTTGAGCAGGGCTTTTCAACCTTTTCACCCATTGTACCACTTTTAGGATATGGCAATATCCGAGTACCACCTGCCTAGCAAGGTGTCAAAAACTTGATGACGAAAAAAAAAGGGAAAAAGTGATAAAGCACAGGTAGTCCTCAATTTACAACAGTTCGCTTAGTGACTGTTCGAAGTCACAATGGCACTGAAAAAAGTGCCCCCCAAGGCATAGCCGAGCAAGACACCTGCCTGCCCGCCCGGCAGCGCTCTCATTCCCCTCCCTCACTACCACTTTTCTAGGATGGTCGCGTACCACCTGCCAGGTGCCAATGTACCACAGTTGGTATCCGTACCACTGGTTGAAAAGCCCTGAACTAGAGTTCTCTTTACACTGCAGAGAGGATCATCCTTTCCCATAAATCCTGGGGCAACAAGATCAATTTATGATGTCCTGTATTTCAATAGCAAAGTCAACTACCCTGTGAACACAGAATCTTTCTTTGTGTTAGTTATCAGCTTGAATAATAAAGTTAAGTGCAAGTAAATGAGGAACTAGTATTCTGTTTATTCAAAATAAGTTGTCATCCTGCTATCTTTGTTCAGATTTACTTGTATATGATTGCATAACTGGAATGCCTTCCCTCTGGAAAACAAACTTAGAACACTATACTGTACAAAAGATCATACAGTATATTATAAGGAAGAAAAACATTTCTTTAAAATGTGGACATCCTTGAACATTCAGATTCTTTTATTCAGAGTTAAAATACAGAAATGAATGAAAGAATAAGCTACTCTACCTGCCAGCGGATCAACACGGATGTGGTGGTGTGCGGTGTCACTGACAAAATGGCGGGAGCTTCCTCTGGGGCTGAGGAAAAGAAGAAATACAAGTCAAATACTCAAGCTCTTCTGTGATGAAAAGAACACCAGGAAGTGCAAGCTATGAAGTCATCATCTTTCACAGAAGTTTAAATGACTTCTTTTTGGAGATGAAGATCAAGTGTGATTACAATTTCCTTGCAGATTGGAGGATACCATGATCCTAAAACAAGTTGATTTTCTGGTGGAATACTTCACTAATCTGAAATAATGGAGCCAATTGTAACAGGTTTATCTTGGCCTTTTTAAAAATCTTATCTACCATATGCCTGTCTTAATTTGTTAAGGAACTCTTGTTTCTTCTGCTTACCATTCTTTTCATTAGTTTCTCTATAGATTTTATTCCATTATTTTTTCTATTTTCAGTTTCTATTATAATTCTATTGCTTGTTTGAATTGTGCCTAACACTATTGTCTAAACTGAGTCCCAGATGTATCAATCTGCTCAATTTGTCACAGCACAAAGTTTGCCTCCCTCAATAGCCAGCTTTATCTATGATTTCTTCTTTTGTACTTTAACATAAACAAGGCCATTACCAATAAAACATAAGAGATAAATCTACAATAGGGAAAATATAGCAGTGGATCTGAATAGGGTTAGATGTGAGATGGGTTATTATACAAGTGGGAAACCAGATAGTAAAAAAGGGGCAACCCCCCCTTCTTTATTCTTCTTTTGACCTGATTTTGTTTTGTTTCTTTAGTTGTAGAGCTAGTACATTTTGAAGAAGAGATCTTTTCAGACTGTCTAAGTGAAAGATAATCAAGGTTCCTAAGAATGCAACAGTGCACTCACTGAATTCATATTACCTTTTTACATTGCATGATCATCTCTTTTCTCAAGAGATGGAAAAAAAAGGTTTTACACTGGGTAGTAATTCATGACCTTGCACATTTGCATACCAGCCTGTAGTGTGGTGAGTGATTCTGACTCTTCACTGTATTCACTGTCACCAATGTCATTGGTTGCCTTAACACGGAATTTGTAGGTGGTGAATGGCTTCAATCTGCAAATAGAATGCAAGGGATCGGTTTTTAGTTTTGGAAGAACAAATTCCCACATGTGTGCTGCTGTCTTCTGCTTGCTAAGACCTACATTCTAATTTTTTTGTTGTTGTTGTTGTTCCAAGACCAGCAAATCCTTCCTCCAGTCTTTGGAAAAGCATTTTGGATGTAGCTGTGTGACTCGACAGCTAGTGTTGCTTCCAGGCTTAGAATTAAGTTATGAGAACTGAGTTCAGACTGGGATGGCACCCTTTAAATGGGATCCTTGACTTATTCCCACAATTAGAACCAGAATTTCTGTTGCTAAGCAAGGCGATTAAGTGAGTCCCAACCCTGATTTTACGACCTTTTTGGCCACAGCTGTTAAGCAACTCACTGCAATTGCTAAATGAATCAAATGGTCATTAAGCAAATACAGCTTCCTCAACTGACTCTGCTTGTCAGAGTCTGCTTATGTGGCCCTGCAATCATCAGGCTGGTTGCCAAGGGCTTGAATTCTGATCACGCAACTCTGGGAAATGCTGAGATAGTTGTTAAGTGTGAGAACTTAACAGTCATATGTCACTTTTTTTCAGTGCCATTATAACTTTGAATGGTTGGTAAACAAATGATGGTTTGTCACGAACTACCTGTGCACAATCTTGGATTGTCTGGCTGCTGAACAGTCGGACAAACTGGAACCCTGAACAACCGTTTCCCCTTCTAAATAAAAGTCTCTTGCATCGCATCAGTTCCTGCCTCACCTGTTCACAATGAAGGATGTGGTGTTGTGCTTCACAGATGCAGAATGTAACATCCATTTCCCATCAGGGAGTTCCCGTGTTTGCACAGTATAGTATCGGACAGGTGACAGCCCATCACTGCCTGGCTCCCAGGACAATAGCACATTCCTGGCCTTGACATCTTCCTGCAACACAATGGGCTTGCTAGGTGGTTGAGGACGGTCTGGGAGATAAGACAGAGATGGATCACTGAAAGCTAGTTTTTCATGGGATGAAAAAGAGATACGGCAACGATAGAGGTAGGCCAGAGATTATTTTCAGGATGATACAATATGCACAGGAACCCTGACGCTTTATTAGCCTAAACATGTATCTTTTTCTCCTGTACTCCATCCCGAACATTATCCAATTGGTTTCGATGTCTAGTATGTTCACTGGTTTCCTACCCTAGTTTGCTTTCCATTTTAAAATGTTGCTTCCGTGCGATCACAGATGGTTCACCCATTCATACAGTTTATAGTGATGCTTCCCATACCATTTTTTTTAAAATAAAAAAACTAAAACCCAGCACAGTATATTAACTCTATGAAAACAAAGTTGGGTCTGGATGACCATTCAGAAAGCAGACCGTAGTTAACACGGTTTCACAAGGCAGGGAGTAATAGTAATAGTAATAGTAGTAAAGTTGGAAGGGACCTTGGAGGTCATCTAGTCCAACCCCCTGCTCGGGCAGGAAACCCTACGCTATTTCGGACAAATGGCTGTCCAGTCTCTTCTTAAAAACTTCCAGTGTTGGAGCATTTACTGCTTCTGGAGGCAAGCTGTTCCACTGATTAATTGTTCTCACTGTCAGGAAGTTTCTCCTTAGTTCTAGGTTTCTTCTCTCCTTGATTAGTTTCCACCCTTTGCTTCTTGTCCTGCCTTCAGGTGCTTTGGAAAATAGCTTAATTCCTCTTCTTTATGGCAGCCCCTGAGATATTGGAATACTGCTATCATGTCCCCCCTTGTCCTTCTCTTCGTTAAACTAGACATACCCAATTCTCGCAACCGTTCCTTATATGTTTTAGCCTCCAGTCCCCTAATCATCTTTGTTGCTCTTCTCTGTACTCTTTCTAGAGTCTCACATCTTTTTTACATCGTGGTGACCAAAACTGGATGCAGTATTCCAAGTGTGGCCTTACCAAGGCATTGAAGAGTGGTATTAATACTTCACGTGATCTTGATTCTATCCCTCTGTTAATGCAGCCTAGCACTGTGTTGGCCTTTTTGGCAGCTGCAGCACACTGCTGGCTCATATTTAAGTGATTGTCTACTAGGACTCCGAGGTCCCTCTCACAGTTACTACTATTGAGCATGGTGCCACCTATGCTGTACTTGTGCATTTGGTTTTTCTTGCCTAAATGTAGAACCTTGCTTTTTTCACCATTGAATTTCATTTTGTTAGTTAGTGCCCAGTGTTCAAGTCTGTCCAGATCCTTCTGTATCTGAAGCCTGTCTTCTGGAGTGTTGGCTATTCCTGCCAGCTTGGTGTCATCTGCAAATTTGATGAGTTCCCCATCTATCCCTTCATCCAAATCGTTGATGAAGATGTTGAAGAGTACTGGGCCCAGAACAGAGCCCTGGGGCACCCCACTACACACTTCCCTCCATATAGATGCAGTTCCATTGAGGACCACTCGCTGAGTACGGCCGGTCAGCCAGCTACGGATCCATCTGGTGGTGTTTCTGTCTACCCCACATTTTTCTATCTTGTCAAGTAGTAGGTTGTGATCTACTTTATCAAATGCCTTACTGAAGTCCAAGTAAATTATGTCCACAGCATTCCTCTGATCCACTAATTTTGTCACTTGGTCAAAGAATGCAATAAGATTTGTCTGGCATGATCTATTTTTGACAAACCCATGTTGGCTTTTAGTAATGACTTTGTTTGCCTCTAGGTGTTCGTTGATTCGTTGTTTGATTATCTTTTCCAGGATCTTCCCAGGTATTGAGGTCAGGCTGATAGGTCTGTAATTTCCTGGATCCATTTTTTTTCCTTTTTTGAGGATGGGAACTACATCAGCTCTTTTCCAGTCCTCGGGTAGTTCCCCTGTGTTCCAGGATCTTTGAAAAATATAGTTCAGTGGCTCCGATATCACATCTGCCAGTTCCTTGAGAACTCTGGGGTGTAATCCATCTGGTCCTGGCGATTTGAACTCATCTAGGCTGGACAGGTGCTCCCTAACCATTTTCTTGCCTATCTTAACTTGTATTTCTGTTTTGTTTTTTATGGCACTATTTTTAATAGGTTGGTCTGTTTTTTCCTTTGTGTAAAGACAGATGCAAAACACGAGTTAAATAGTTCTGCTTTCTCCCTGTTGTTTGTCACCTTCTTGCCACTTCCCCCCACTAATGGACCAATCGTTTCCTTCACTTTTTTCTTGTTTTTTACATGTTGAAAGAAGCTTTTTTTGTTATTTTTGACTTTGGTCGCAAGCCTTAGTTCATTTTGAGCCTTGTCTTTCTTCACTTCATCTTTGCAGGCTCGGGCTATTTGCTGATATTCTGACTTAGTTATGTTCCCCTCTTTCCACTTTCTGTACTTGTCCTTTTTATCTGTCAATTTGTCAGAGAGTTCTTTATGCAGCCATGCTGGTTTCTTTTGAGAGCTGTTATTTTTCCTCTTTGTTGGTATTGTGCTAGACTGTGCTTTTATTATCTCATTTTTCAAAATTTCCCAAGCTTCTTGAGGTGTTTTCCCCTTGAGGATTCTCATCCATGGAATCCTTCCCAAGCCCTCTCTAAGTTTATTGAAATTAGCTCTCTTGAAGTCCAAGACTCTAGTTTGACTGTGTTCTATTGCTTGTGCTTCTCTAATGTTGAATTCTAATATTGCATGATCACTTCCTCCCAGGGTTCCTATGGCTTCAACACCGTCTATCATTTCATCTCTGTTAGTGAGAATTAGATCCAAAATGGCTAATCCCCTAGTTCCCTTCTCTAATTTTTGGGAGACAAAGTTGTCTGCTAGGTTTGCCAGGAACCTGTTTGATCTTCCACTTGGTGCGGAGTTTGTCTCCCAGTTGATGTCAGGGTAGTTAAAGTCCCCCATTACTATTGTGGTGTGCTTCCTACATAACTTAGTTAGCTGACTAGCAAAAAGTTCATCTATTTCCTCTGTTTGGTTGGGTGGTCTGTAGTATACACCTATGGCAATGTCATTTCCCCCCCCCTTTTATATTGACCCAAAATGCATTCAAGACAGTTTTTATCATTGTTGTGTTCTATTTCTGTAGAGATGTTGTTATTTCTTATATAGAGAGCAACTCCACCTCCTCTTTTATTTGATCTGTTTCTTTTAAATAATTTAAATCCCTCTAGCTGTGTGTTCCATGTGTGGGTTTCATCCCACGTTTCCGTAATGGCAACAATATCATATCTGCCCTCATTAACCTGAATTTCTAATTCTCCGTTTGCTGTTCATACTCTGTGGATTGGTGTATAAACATTTGAGTCCTTTGTGAGTGGCCCTGTGTTTCCTTTCTACATAACCTGTGTGGTGCCTGAGTTCCCATATTGTTTTACCACCTATTTGGTTAGTGCACTTTGTGTGGCACTCGCTATTAGAGACTTCATTTTGCTTGATAGCAAGGTTGGTATTCTTGTCCACACACACATCTATGCTATATACACTGATAGCCCTATAATTTCTAAATTGGGTTGTTCCGTATCAATTAACTCCCTGTCCCCGTTTAGTTTAAATTTCCCTCCAAAAAATCTGTGAATTTATAGCCGAGTAACTCAGTCCCTTTTTTTGATGGATGCAAACCATCACTTTTGTACATCTTTTGATTGGACCAGCTACTGACATTGTGACTAATATATCCAAAGCCTTCCCCTTTACACCACTCCTTTAGCCACATATTGAATTGTGCTATGCGCTGGCCTTTTCCGTTTTGCTCCTTATACACTGGTAAAACCTCTGAGAAAGTAAGCCTACCGCCTATTCTGCTAAGTTCCTTCCCCAAGCTCTGGAAATCATTCTGCACAGAGAGTACATCTTTTTGGGACAGATCATTAGTGCCAAGGTGTACAATAGCCTCCACATCACAGTCCTTGCTGCCATTCTTGATTATTTTAGAAATACGATTCTTGTCCCTACTGGCAGTAGCACCTGGAAGACACCTGACCTCTTTCAAAGCCTCTGTGTCCTTTCCTAAATTTACATCCCTTATAATTGAATCACCTACCAGAAGGTAGCTTCTCTTTTTGGGAGCCTTTATATTCTTGCATGACTGATGTGCAATACCTGATTCACACTTCTCCCTGTCAAAATCTAGTTCTTCATCTCGGACCACAATCCCCTGCTTATTTGAGTTATCTTCACAAATACCTTTACCAGTCTCCTAAATGTCCCTATTAAGGTCAGCAAGGGCACTGTAGCTGTTGTGCAGGGACACAGCGAAAGCTTTGTGTTTATGGTTCACAGCTCTCACCCTGCCAGATCCCATGGTTGTCCAGGCACTAAGAAAGTGGGAACAACAGAGTAACAACTCACAATGAGTGCAACAGATGCAGCCTACGCAGGACCAGAACCGCTGTCTGAAACAACAAAGAACCACGACTGGCAAAGGGGAGAAATCCCCAGCACGATTTGTACAGGAGCCAATGATGGGAGGTGGGGTGCCACACTCACAACAGGGGGGTGGCCACAGGACAGGAGGCACTGGAGGACCATCCTATAGCAACATGTACCCAGATATGTCCAAAGTGGGCAAAGAGAGCAACAAAAAAAGAGGCAATGATCCCCGAGCTTACAAGTGTACAAACAGATGTGAGACTATTAGAAGCAATATGGTCAACTGGGGCGTGTAGACCGGTAATGCATTCTATGAGCAGAGCACACAAACTGCCGGTCTTATAAGCAGGCTTTCAAACCTCCAGGATTCCACTCTGATGATGTCGGCAGTTAGCCGACGAAAGCTAAGTTTATCAAACAGTTGCTAGTTTATTAAACAGTTGTTTTTATATTTATTCCAGTGTTGGACTATTTTTCTCAACATATATAGGAAGACAAAGAGAAAGAGAAAACAGTAGACTTTTCAGACTTGACCTTTAAATATATTAACTATACTTCTTAGAATTTCTAGCCACTAAGGCCAGTAACTAAAGAAATATTTCATTGAGAAATGTTGTTCTCAATTTGCAGATAGAAATATTACAAATTGGATGAGGGAGTGAGAAGTGAAATATTATAAATATATTGAAATATAAAGATTATGTTCCCCTCCACAAAGAAATCATGTATCATGTATTTAAACCATGCTGGTATTGAATGGCCTTTTGTAAGATGTTTTTCCTCTGCACATATGTAAAACACAGGGAAAAAAAATAAGTTAGGAAAAAGAAACCAGGTGTCTTTCACTGGGAAAACTAACTAAATCCC